CAGGTCAAGGCTCCAAAAGCACAAAGGCAATATAAGGGTGGTGGCTCACAACAGTTTTTGTTTGCTGGATCATTTTAGTTCAGCTGGGTGTCTTTCCTTTTGCTATATTTCTTTAAGAGTTCAAAATGTGTTAATTGCATAAATAAAATGTAACTTTCTCTGTAGCACTTCAAGGATTTCATAAGCAACACACCTTAGTTGTTCACACAAAGCATAAAGGTAAAAACAATATATACAGTGTTATCTTCATTTTAGATGTCAAAAAGTATTTGCGGCTCCCAGTGTTTTCTTTTGCATGGAAACCGGGTCCAAATGGCTCTTTGGGTGTTAAAGGTTGCTGACCCCTGGTCTAGTAAGCCGATCACATGGCAGCAGCCTTTAGGCATGTAGACATGATCCAGATGACAAACTGAAGTTCAGACTGAGCAACATAATGGTGATTTAAGTGGCTTTCAATACATCATTGTTCTTGGTGCCAGATAGGCTGGTGTGTCTGGATTTAAATCAAGTTCTTGAGCTGAACAGTACATAAATCAGGGGTAGGCAACTCCAGGCCTCAAGTGCTGGTGTCCTGCAGGTTTTAGATGTGTCCTCGATCCAACACAGCTGATTCAAATTGCTAAATTACCTCCTCGACATGTCTTGAAGTTCTCCAGAGGCCTGGTAATGAACTAATCATTTGATTTAGGTGTATTGACCCAGGGTGACATCTAAAACCTGCAGGACACCGGCAATTGAGGCCTGGAGTTGCCTACTCCTGACATAAATCATTCAGCCACACATGGCTGTTATGCATTGTTGAATCAGTAAGACCACCATATGACCTATGGTAAATAAAACATCCAACAGTTTTTGTTAAGCTGATTTAGAAATGCCCTGGGTGAGCAAAGTTGACCCCATTTTTGTCCAATATCCTACTCCAGGACCCTGAGGTGATGGCCGCCTTCCAGGATGTCGCCCAGAACCCGGCCAACATCTCCAAGTATCAGAACAACCCCAAAATCATGGCCCTCGTCACCAAGCTGAGCTCTAAATTTGGAGCTCCTCCACAGCCATAGACAGGACGGGACAGAAATGGGAGAGAAGAACGAGTGGATGTGGTGAAACAATCTGGAGAGCAAAGCTTTTCAACAATTATTCACTGTGTGTAGTTCAAACAGGGGAGCAGGTGACGGGTTAACTGGCATGGTGTAGAGGAAGGTTGGCAATTTCTTTTCTTTTTTTTTTTTAATGTTCTTAATCAGCCTGTTAGCACTTAGCAACATGTCAACAAAGCAGCCCGGTGGTTAGGAGTCAGGTCTGATACTTATACACCCCGTCCAGCACATCTCAGCTGGGAATTCACTTAAACCACAGGTTGACGTTTTCTAACCTGCGTCATGAACAGCCAAACCGGGAGCCTCCTGCATTAAGACGCTAGCTTAGAAACATTTCTACCGCTGTTTAATACTCTCTATGATTTAGCTACTGGTTTCTTTCTGTGGACGGAGCTGAACTCTCACACCACTGTGGGCCCTTCTTGTTATCAGATGTATTATTATAAAAAGTATTGAACATGTTTGACCCTGTTGGAAAAATAATTCACAAAAATAAAAGCTCTGTTCCTGCAAATCAGGTTTGATCTGCATTTCTAGTTCTGTTTCCCGTTAAATGTCATGTGTAAAAGAGTTCACTCATTTTTATTTTGACTTCAGTTTTCCTGTGATAATTAAACTGGAAAGAATGATCAGAAAACTCGACTCATCTTTTCACCTGTCATAATCATTGCCTCAATCTGTTTACAAACACATCAGCTGGTTCCAAATGTGGGTCTTTAAAGGTATTTTGATAAATCAGGCCTGGTGGGAGAGTGGGTCACCAGCTACTTAATCCATCCACAACATCTGTCTTTCAGCCAGAGGATTACCACTCTAACACACAGCCGGCTGGGCTCTTATCAAAGCAGATCTGACTGAGCACTGTCCTGTCACAGCAGACGGCTGATTTGTCCTTTGGATCGCCTTCAATAACTCAGTCTTTTGCCCACAACCCCTGAAAATGTGCTGCTTGTCCCTTCCTCTTTAAAATTCCGACAACACAAGTCACACAAGCTGTATTTTTCACAAGATTCCTGTTTATTTCTGTACTTACAATATACCAGAACAAAATACATGAGCAGAAAAAATTAGCTTTTATAAGCGGGTCAGAACAAGGATAAAGTGAGGGTGCTGCTTGCAGAAGCCAACAAAGGGGTGAAGGATAAACGAGCTAGTGTCCATATCTGTGAAAACATGACAGAGAAGATGTTCTGTCAGTACAGCTCTTCAGTTTTAAAGAATAAACAATTTTCTCTGGGTCAACAAATGATCAAATGCACTGTTAACCGAGGAACCCCTTAAACCCTTGTGATTGGACCACACAGTAAAACTGTATACAATGTAATGCATGGTACTCACTTCTGAAACTCCCACTCCCTGTTGTCCAGAGGACACACCTGTCTGGTCTTCAGCCAGCGAGAAATACAGTGGAAGTGGAAAGCATGCTGGAAAAGAGAAACAGTAGAAGGATGGTAAAACTACCTAAAAAAAATAATAATTTCTCTAGTGGAAAATCGATATTTTACTTCAGGTTTACAATATTTAAGTATCATGTATCTCCATTCCCCTGAATTGTAATTTTATTTATTATTAGTCCTTTATTTATCCAGGTAAAAATCTAATTTCCAAGAGAGACCTGGCAATACTGCTAATACTCTAATTCTTTGTACTTCCACATGACAACAATCAAACTTTGAGGCACAACTGGAAAACAAAGAAATAGATCGTGTGCGCTTAAAATAACAAAATGACCAGAGGATCAAGTTATCCCAGATTATTTAAAACCATTTTTAAGGATTCAGGAAATTTTAAAACCTTCCATTTAAATACTGTTCATCGCATGTATAGTTCCTGCATATAAACCTGGCATGAGCAAGCTCTTATAAACACAACAGCCTTGTGCAGGAAATGCCTAAATAAAGTTCATTATGATCAATGTTGGGAACATCGCTTCAGAAGTTATACTAATATTAATTTGTGTTTAACATGATTCCTCTCACCTTTATGGATCAACATGCTTATCATTTTTGGTTAATATGAATCATGATCAAGAGCATCTACAAATAAAATAAATAATATACTTTATCTGATATTTGGGAAATCATTTAGTAACAACAGTTGAAATTATGAATAATGGCGATAATGACATATCATCTGGAAGATCACCTCTGCCTGATACATAGAACTTCCTATATCTGCCCTTCCTGGCAGCAGAGATGATTGTTACAGGAGGTGCCTGTCATCGTCTTTTTAAGATCACTCCTTAGAAGTCCTAATCTGACTTTGTGAATCTGCATGTTTTCAGTATGAATGCCAAATTTGAACAGGGAGCATCAACAACTGTCAGTGCTACAGACACCAGGGTCAGACTGTGAAGACTCAGTTCTACTGTGATATCCTGAGTTGTCCCAGGGAGATCATTCAGTAGAAACAACCTGAACTGTGAAGTGCAGGGCACACACACTTCCTATGACTTCCTCCTTTGTTCCCAAAAAAATAATTTCAGACACCCATTTTCATCTTCTTTGCTGTGTGTGATTGGCAACAAAAGCCAATCACACACAGCAAAGAGAGAGAGAAAGCAGAGAAAATCAAGTGGTCAGATCAGGATTTTGCTTCCACAGTGCAATCCAAACAAAGAGCAATGGTCTCAAAGGGGAGCTGAGACCATTTTGATCACACCGTACATGTTATATAGAAACTTACGTTGCAAACACCCCAGGCTACAGTGCACTCTTCAGAGGTTGCAGAAGCTTGGTTGGCCTGGCACTCTATGCCTAATGGATGAGGGGGGAAAAGAGAAATGTGTCAACATAAAAAGCACCATATCACCTACAATGATAAGCAAACCTCATTTACTGTCAAAATGTGCACCAAAGAAGAGATCAAAGACCAAAATGTAAAACTGAACTCACAGAGATCCATGATGTGGTTCCTACAGATAGCACAGTTGTCCACCACAATGTCCCAGGCCCAGAGCGCCACAGCATTCCACTGAGTGGGGAAAAAAATAAAATCACACAAATATATGATCCAAGATTTATAATCTGGAGATTATGTCATTTAAAAAAATGTCTATATCCCCTTATTTGAACCACACGAGGGCCAGCAGTGCACAAACTGCTGTGACTTGAGGGGCACTTTTTGAGCTTAAAAACAAACATTACATAAACATACGTTTTATTTAAAAATATATATTTTAACTTTGGTTCATTATGAGTGTCAAATGTCTTTTGATTTGAAAAAGAAGAAGCAAAAGCATCTCTTGGGTGTCTGTAAGAGGGCCTTATCCACTTCCCCATCCCAGAAACACGCCTGAGATGTTACTGTAAACTCTATAGAAGTCCTCAAATCATCAGAGATTTAAGATCTCATTTAAGGCATGGGGCCCTAAATATATCATTTGAGTCTAGCTTATTGAGAAAAGAATAGCATAAGAACGAGACACACAGTCGCCATCGAAAACATGTCAAACGTGTAAACATTATTTTTAAATACAAAGCAAAAATTACGTGTGATGTGTAGCTAAGCTAATTCCGCCGGGGTACCGTTTGAACAGCTGATGTGTTTCTGCCCATTACACCTTTGTTATTAATTCAGAGATATCTGTGAGGGCGTTGATTCTCGGCCCCTTAATGGGAAGTGCAAATTCGTGGGTGTTCGTTACTAACAGCTACAAGCCCAGTGTCCTAACTGATTCTATGCCACAGTGACTTAGCGCTAAAGTTAGCATGCTAGAGTTAGCTTAGTAAAGGCAGTGAGCGGTAATGAGCCACACGAGGGCCAGCAGCGTCCATTGTTAACATTAGACAGCTTCTTAGTAACTCCCCGGTGAGAGACTTTTTACAGCCATACCTTCTTTACTTCAAATCGTTTCTTGCTTGCGCTATTAGTACCGCTCGGTGTATCCACGTCCATTGCTGCTGCCATCTTGAACGGAAGAGTATGCCGTATGAGCCAAATCAGGCGGAAGAAGAGCGGCAGTTTCCGCCGGCGAATTTGAGAAATTTTAAAGCGTATTATATCGATATTTGACGGCGTAATGAAGACAGATCATAGTTATTTTCTTATATTTATTTCAAAAGCTAACAATGTTAACTTTCATGAACACAAAGCGAAAAGCTTCTCCATGATCCAAAATACTTAGGTTCCACCGAGATTTGAACTCGGATCGCTGGATTCAGAGTCCAGAGTGCTAACCATTACACCATGGAACCCCCACGACGACCTGTCAACTACAGCTCGTTATAAAGGTGGGTATCACAAGTACAATGGTCTGTCATTCCCCATTAGATATAGTAAATTGTTAGAGCACAAATGTTGCTAACACTGCCAAGTAGTTTGAATTACTATTGATCTCCCATCGATGCTACCGTGATAGGATCAATACATTGCTTCTATCCTATAAGTTCAGTTTGTAGCCCACTGAATTTTGTAATTAAAAAACTATAGCTCAGACATGCTGTATGAAAATATCTGAAATATTTTGTATGTACCGTCATGTCTAGAATATTTAAAACCTATAGCACATTTAGATAACAGATGTTGACCAAAAGTGCTTAAAAGACAGGTCTAAAAAAAGAATAGTTTTAAAATAATTAAGAAGGTGAAAGATTTGTTTTGTTGTCGTGTTAACTAATTATTGTGGGAAATTTTTAAAAAATCAAAGTGATTTTAGTGGTCATTAAAATGTGTTCAGAATTTGCATATTGATGACTCATTTCATAAATCATGAAACACTGCTCTCCCTTACATAAGCTGCCCTTATAGGCTAAAAATATTGGTATTGGTATAGGGAATACTGGCTTGATATCAGATCAATACCAAAATTTGCAGTACTGCACAGAACTAGCTGTGTTTGTCCGTTTTTGTTAGCTTTCAGTACTTTACACCCATAGATAAGATTTTTTTTTTTTTAGCTATGTGGTTCCCTTCTATAAACTACACTCAATCCCAATGTGGGATATTGCTGTGCAGTCTCACATAGGGACACTGTGGGATAACATGGCCTCGCTGATTTCACCTATAGACACTTGACGCTTGGCCTCTGTAAATTAGTATGTGCACCACTAAATATAGCAGTTGGGCTCCTCTAAAAATGCGTTGTTATTCTCTCTCAACAAACCTTTTTAGTGTTGCATTAAAGTATCCCTGCAAGAATGGTGAGAGATTGGCTGAGTGACTGTCAGGTTTCGTCTGACTTTTTGACTTTGATTTTTCGCTTGGATAGAAAAGACTTGCATGGCTCAACATTTTAATTTAAAACCAAAAAAATGTAGCTTTCAAGAAACCCAGCTCCTTAACACTCAGGTTTATTGCAAAAAAAGAGGAAAAGGAAAATGAGTTACATGTTCTCATTTCAGTATCTTCTTTTTCTTTGTTACTTTTGGTGGCCCAGGTTTTCTTTGAGGCTGCTTCCTGGGCAGTTTGGCTACTTTAGCTGTGGTCTGTGCTTTGGATTTCTTCACTTTTGGATCTGCAGCACTCTTCTTTTCTGGTGGAGAAATGTTCTCTGGGCAGGACTTGAAGACGTGGATGCCCCGGACCTTCTGACCTCTGAGCTCAGGAGGGTGACCACAAGTTGCGGTCAGCTCCAAACTAACATTCTCCATCCACCTGAGCCACAGATACAAAGAGACAGAGTCAGTAAAGCTGTCAGTTCATTCTAACTGTAATCCCAGGTAAATCTTACACCGACCTGCGCAGAGGAAGCAGAGAGCAGTCACAACGCAGTGGGTTGTCCTGCAGGTCCACGGTCTCCAGGCCAGTGAGTGGGCTCAGATCAGGAAACTCCTCCAGCTGGTTTCCTCTCACAGTCAAAGTCCGCAGCTCTGAGGCCAGCCCCAGCAGTGCATCCTTGGAGATCTGCACAGTGGTGCAATACAAAGAGTTGAAAAGAAAATGATTTATCTTGAACAAGCCCTCAGTGCAGTGAATCAGCACATATTTTCACATAAACAGTACAGTCACGTTTGGACTAGATATTGGAAGCCTGGCATGATGGCTGGTGTTCAAATACTGACAATGCTGAGAAAACATAAACACGTTGCAAACTAACTTGTGATATTAGCTTAAAAGGGTCTCTCGTACCTTTTCCATTCCCATATGATCCATGTAAAGTCTCTTCAGACTTTTGGATAAGGGCTGGAAAGCATTTGGTCCCACCCAATGAACTGAGTTCCCAGAGAGGTTGAGCTCCTGCAGATTAGGGGTCTCAAGCAGAGCGTGGGTGGGCACCTCAGTCAGCTGATTTGAATCCAGGTGAAGGGTACATAGAGAGTCAGAGTCAAGAGCGCCCTTGGCAATGTAAGTTAAGTTGTTATTGCCCAGATATAACTCAGTAAGTTTAGAGCCCAGTGAGGACAGCAACCCACTGGTCTCAAGTTTAGAGATGGCATTTTGCTCCAGGTGTAACACAACCAGACTTGGTAAGAGTGACAAAGCTAGAAGAAAGACACAGAACAGCCATGTTTTAGTTCCAGTGTTTCTTGTAGATAGTATCTACTGAGGCAGACTTAATGTAACTTATCCACTGACCTGATCCGGGGAACTGTGCCAGCTTGTTCCTCTCCAGGTGGAGGTAGGTGAGCTTGGGCGCTCCAGCAAAGGCCTTGGGGTCCAAGGACATGAGGTCATTATCAGAAAGGTACAAATACAAAAGGTTTTTCATCCCTTGGAGGGCACCACCTTCAATTTCATGGATTTTGCAAGACTGCAAGTGAAGAGAAACAAGTTGGCTGCTGCCTGGGAAGCTGTTGGCTGGAAGGTAGTGGAAGTGATTATCGTGGAGGTCCAGCAACTGCGTCTGGGCGGGGAAGCCTCGTGGGACTCTAGTATGGCCCCGACCCTCACATGTGGCATGCTGGGTCTCAATCTAGAGAAAATCAATTTTGAATGTGAAACCTGCAAAACGTCTCAGTGGAAATAACAAACAGTCATCGAGGAAGTACTCTAAGGGTTTACTTAATAGAATACCGACATATCACAGTGCTCTGAGACACTGATAAACATATGAGTGAAACAGCTGCCTTGTAGCATGCAGCATTAGCCTTCATTTAAAGGCCTTTGAAGCATTATTTGTGGTGTGCCAAACATCTACCACTATGTTACCCATCTACCTACAGTGGATTTTTAGAGCTTTCAACTCAATTTTATTTATATAGCATGGCCACTTGATCCAACCCCTAACTATATGCTTTATCAAAACCCTTTTAGCATAGCTCTCTAGCTTAAAACTAGAGAGGATGTCTGCCTCCTGAATCCAAACTGGAAGCTGGTCCCACAGATTAGGGCCCTGAAAGCTGAAGGCTCTGCCTCCCATTCTACTTTTAAATATCCTAGGAATCACAAGTAAGCCGCAGTCTGAGAGCCAAGTGCTCTACTGTGATTAGCGAAGTAACTAAGTACAAGTGAGCCAAGTGAGAGTGTGGTAAAACAGCAAATCTATGAGAAACTGGAGTTTTTATTTTTTCTTCCTGCTTTTGTTGTTGAGAGATCAGCAAATGCTGGAGTTGAACTGAAATTTTCACGGAAGTGTCCCAGAAGTGTTTTCTGTCTCCAACTTACATCACATTCACAGTTAGCTGGACACTTGACCTTCTGCTTTGGCTTGGCAGTGGCTGTGACCGTGGGTGGGACTCTTTCCGTACTCTCCTCCTCCTCCACTGGTGACTTCCCCCTCCTGCAGCGCAGATCCAGAGGAGACACCGCCTGCAGAGGCTCATCTGAGAGGTGAGGAGGTCCAGAGCAGGCCCCCAGCAGCTTCACACCACTAACTCTCGCCCACTGCCTCAGTGGAGACATGTAGCAGTTACAGTAGATGGGGTTCCCTTTAGAAAAAGTAAGAAATGCCTGTTGGTCAGCATGTAAAAATGACACATAGTATGCTATTACCCCCTACATCTTTCTTTCTTGGCCTCACTATGAGACATGAGAAGTCAGATCACTTACATCTGCTGGTTTGGAAAAAATGAAAGCCTGTTATATTAAAGTAAAAGTCTGCGTCCAATAAAAAATACCAGAACACAGGCTTTACCTGTCAGGTTGAGGCTGGTGAGCTCTCTAGGGCCTGAGAGGGGCTCCACGTACCGAAGATGGTTGTGGCTGAGGTCAAGGTGTGAGAGGAGGGGGGCTTGAGAGAAGGCCTTGTCTGAGAGGTCCTGAAGGGACATGTGGCTGAGGTACAGGTGTGTAAGCTTCGCCATGGAAACGGAATCTTCCCCGAGGTAGACCATGGGGTTGTGGTTCATGTGCAGCCGTGTGACCTCACGGAGTCTTAACAGGTGGAGGACATGGC